TTTTTTTTGCTGAGGATTGTTCTGGCTATTCTTGGCCATTTGTTTTTCCATATGAATTCCTGTATTGTTTTTTCTAGCTCTGAGAAGAATGTTGCTGGTAATTTGATGGGTATTGCATTAAATCTGTAGATTGCCTTAGGTGAGATGGACATCTTCACAATGTTGATTCTCCCAATCCATAAGCATGAGATATTTTTCCACTTGTTTGTGTCATCTTTGATTTCTTTGAGCAGTGTTTTGTAGTTTTCATTGTAAAGGTCTTTCACGTCTCTGGTTAGGAAGATGCCAAGGTATTTCTTTGTGTGTGTGTGTGGCTATTGTGAATAAGATTGTGCTTTTTATTTGGGTTTCTGTTTGCTTATTATTGGTGTAAAGAAATGCGATTGTCTTTTGCACATTTATTTATACCCTGAGACTCTGCCAAAGTCCTTTATCAATGCAAGGAGGCTTTTGACAGATTCTCTTGGGTTTTCAAGGTACACAATCATGTTGTCTGCAAAGAGAGATAACTTGACTTCCTCTTTTCCTATTTAGATACCCAGAACGCCTTCTCTTTTCTGATTGCTCTAGCCAGGACTTCCAATACTATATTGGACAGGAGGGGGGAGAGTGGGCATCCTTGTCTTGTTCCAGTTTTCAGGGGAAATGGTTCCAATTTTTGTCTGTTTAGGAGTATGCTAGCTGTGGGTTTCTCATAGATGGCTTTTACTATTTTGAGGTATGTTCCATGTATGCCAAGATGTTCGAGGGTTTTTACCAAGAAGGGGTGCTGGATTTTATCAAAAGCTTTTTCTGCATCTAATGATATAATCATGTGGTTTTTGTTCTAACGTCTGTTGATGTATTTAATTACATTGATTGTCTTGCGAATGCTGAACCAGCCTCGCGTCCCAGGGATGAAGCCTACTTGGTCATGATGGATGATTTTTGAGATGTGTTGTTGAATCTGGAAACCAAAGTATTTTTAATGTTCTTTTGGTTCCTAACATTCTCCCTTTGATTTACTTTGATATTTTATAAATGACAATCTCATTACTATACTAAATATTGCATTAAACTAAATTAGAATATTAAAACATGATTTTTGTTTTGTGTTCTATTAAGTTGAAATAATTTTTAAAATTTTGTATACCAGTTAGTTCTTAAAAAGTTACTATTTATTAAAATGTATACTAGAAAAAATATATCCTAAACCAAATTCAGTTTTTTTTTTTTTTTTTTTT